GAGGAAGGAAGGCGTAAGAGAGAAGGCTGGGATTGACAGGGGGAGACAGCAGACAGACACATCGGCCTTGAAGCCACAAACACACAACAGCGCACAGCTTCTTTCTCAGTGCAGCAAATGTGTGTACAAGCTTAAATGAGTGTGCAAAGACGTGACTAGCACTGCTGAAAGAGAGCAGTGCATGTGTTAACACTCAAAATAAACAACATCATCATCATCACGAACTCTTACATTTCTCATTGATTTTTCTTGTGCATCTTGCACAGAAACACCTAACGGCAGAAACAACAGGAACACAATCATGTCTGACTGCCTCAGTCGCCATGTTCCCGTTAGCCACCCACTGTGGCGTACTCCTCTCTCCCACAAATACACCTCTCCCTCCCACTGTTTCAGTCAGAGTGAGCATGTTATTCTGATCACTCACTGCCTGCCCAAGTCCTCTGAATTATTCATGACAATCTGATCATATAGCGGCCACACACACACCCACGGATCTACATGGCTTCATTATCGGAAGATTTCACACTTCCAAACAGTCGCAGAGGAGTTCTTGCCCATGCCGAAGCCCTGTCACAATGCCAGGGTGTTGGCACACAACTGAAATGACGCTCTGAGTGGTTTTCAGCATGCTGCTATGAACTTGCTATGGTGTTCAGAGTGGATTCAAGAGAAGACGAAGACCAAGAATTGCCAAATTTCTCATGAGCAATATTTCAAATAAAAAATAGGTAATAAATATTATCTACTGCTTGACTAACTAAGCTGTAATCCACAGAGAAAGACTTAAGAATATTTTACAAAATGTTCTGTCCCACAAGAAGTTAAGGAGGCAGCTTAACTTCAGGTTAGGCAGGTTTCATTTTTAAAAATGAGTTTGATCTTTTATCATCAATTTCATATCTTGACCTTCCAGTGGCATTGCAGACTTCTCTCTGGTGTCGTATGCTGGATTCCTTCAATCATTTAGTCTGCATAAACCCTGCCCCTTTTACAGTTGACTGCAAGCTCACATTCAGATCGGATTCCATTCCCATAAACAACTGAATGACAGCCCCAAGTCTGCGAGCTATATTTTTACCGATAATCCATTTCACTCAGATGCATGTCACATAACGGCAGAAAAGATCTACCTCTACTTCTGTTAAAAGTTCCTTAAAGGGATCAATTCATCCAAAAATAAAAATCCTGTCATCAGCGTACCCATCCTCATGTTAATACAAAGTCAGTGTTTCATTGTTGATTTGGACCCCATTGACTTTCATTGAATGAAAAAAAATGCAACATTCTTTAAAAGATCTTCTTTTATGTTTCACAAAATAAACTAGAAATTAAGAATACACGTTTGGAACGACATGACAGTAACAGTTTTGGGGGAAATATCCCTTTAAGCATGAGCAACAGTAAAGTGATACTCGCCTTGTGAACACCACTAATTATATTGTATTACCACTAATGTAGTCTCTTTAATTTCTCCAAGTACTGGCAGTATATTAATAAACGGACATATTAGCGCTCTGAAAGACTCAAAGTGAATGGCTGAGTGGATGAATGACACTCATGGAGCCTTCCTAGACAGACAAGAGGGGTAAAAATGTCTCTGAATGCCTCACGTTCTATTTTAATTTTTTTTCTGTCCTACCATTGGACAGGAGAGAGCAGGACAAGACAGAGGAGGAGATTTTTTTTTCCATGGCAGCTGGACGGAGAACATGACAGAATCTCCAGAGTTGAAAATGAATGATGGAGAGGAGAGAGAGAGAGAGAGAGAAGTGGGGGTTGAATCTAGGTTAGCCTGAGAGCAACATAAGGCACAGTGTTGAGAAACGATTTGGATTCGTAGTTGGATTCCCGGCTCTGGTTCCAGTGGTGGAGCTACAAAACACGCTCCAAGGTATCTCTGTTCTGCTCTCATGCTTTCAGGAGGAACACCGAGACAAGATCTGTGCGGGCCCACCTTAGTCACCATGGAGATGGTTACCGGGGGCGAAGACAGCCAGGCTACGGAGAAGGTAGTGGCCATTTCATGGCTGTCAAAACGGCTGCACTTAAGCAGAACCCCTCCACGGCTAAGCAACACTTCCCGTGGCGCTCCACGAAATATATCTCCTCTTGCACCTGATTCCTACACTACACCCCGTGAACACCAACCAAACACAACACATTTTGCCCGCACATGCACAGCACAGCACAGGCTGGCTTTGCATTACGGCAATGATTAGCATTTCCCTTCCACTCTTCCTTTGACAGGAGGATAAGAGGCCGGGAGCTGAAACAGCAGTGACTGACTTATCCTCGCCGAGAGCCTCTTTTGTGAGGAGATGGTTGGAGAAGGAGGGTGGGTAGCAGGTTTGGAAGGCACAGAAGTGGTTCAGGCGAACAAAGCAAGAGAGTTTGAAGCGAAGAGGATGGAAGTAATGGGAGCAGAAGAGGGGAGGAAAGTGAGAGGATGCACGTGCGATGGGAGAGCCGTAGGTTCCCAAGGGGGTTGAAATGCCACCAGCGTTCATCCGCTCCACCCTCCTCTCTTGGTTCAGTCTCTTCCAGCTTGTCCTTTTCTCTTGATTTCACTCCGTGAGAATATGGGAGGAACCAAACGAGGAGGTAAGGCAAGATTGTCAGTTTAGTGTTTGGTAGGTGAATGTACTTTTTCCAAATGAGCAAAGATCTGCCTTCAAGCCACACTGATCTGAGGAGGAGAGTATATGCAAGTGAGAGAGAGAGAGCGAGAGAGAGAGAGCGAGAGAGAGAGAGAGGATGGAGAGGGAAATGGAGGAAGGTAAAAAGCTTTTAAAACCAAAGTTGTGAGAAAAAAGCACCTTTCCTCCACATTACCTAAGAGCTATTAGTCTTGCTCAGCACTAAAGCAGCTCAGTCCCTCCGCAGTCAACCATGTGGATATTTTATTCCATCAGCCTGTCACAGGACATCAGAATGGGCCAGAAAAAGCTAGGAGAGGACAATTTTGCATCCAATGACGCCCATCAAACGCACTGTAGTGCTTCCTTTAGCCATGAAACACTGGGACGGCCACGAGGAGTCACAAATCCAACCCACACCCACCTGATCACCAGTGATAATATAGTCCAAAAATTGATAAAGGAAGTATCAATCAAATTACTTCCTTCCTCAAGTATACAATCAAAAAAAGAATGCCTAAAATGTATTGATTTTGTCAATAAAGACCAAACGGATGAAAATATGATGGAAAAAATATTAACAATGCACTGTTTTTTTTTTGTTTTTTTTTTATAGAAATGTAGAAAGATTATAATTGATTTATATAATCCAATCATGTTATGCCGGGTTAAGATTTCCCCACTAGAAATGAAAGACCTGACAGAGATAGGGGTCCAGTAACTCACTCAAATGCAGTCTATATTCACGACCAATCAAATTATTATTATTTTTTTTAAGAAGAAATTAATATTTACTATACTTTAATACCTAATACTTATTCTGCAACCATGCATTAAATTAATCAATAGTGTTACAATAGATTTCTATTTCAAATTAATTCTGTTCTTTTAAACACATGACTTCTTTCAAATGTATGACCCAATGTGTGAGAAAATTTACAGACACTGCTCAACACCACCCAAATACAGCTGCACTCAACCTCACCCAAGCACAGTCACATCTGCTATCACACACACGCTCCTCTCTTTAGAAAGCATCCTTCAGAATTCTATGGGAACTGTGTGGCATTTTCAGACATGTTTTTCCAGATCAAGAAAGTCCCAGACTAAAGTAAAATACACCATCAGAGAGTCAGGAACAGTTGAAGGCTGAGGGATGACAGTGCATGCGGGGTGTTCTTGAGGACAAATAGAGTGATTAACAAAACACATGCAGACAAGAAAAGTGCCAACGAACTGCCTTATGTCTGAACTGTAACCTCTTGCTTGTCTGAAATTAGGTCTCATTTTTCCAACTACTGCCCATGTCGCCACCTCACACACTCATCCCAGTGGAAATGTGTAAGGAACCGATGCGATTTAAATTTTTCCTTTCTCTTTGGAGTGTTACAAGCTAGAAGAATCTTTAGAATAATAAAGAAGATCTGTAAAGTTGCAAAGACTAAAGTCTCAAATCCAAAGAGATATTCTTTATAAAAGTTCATAGTCAGCCACACCTACCTAAAACGGCTCGTTCTAACACCTACGTCACTATGTGGGAAGATTTGCATAACGCCGCCCAAATGTTCACGCAAAGAAAGAAGGTGTAACTTTTATTCTCGCTGTAGTATTGTTGCTGCCGCGGCCATGTCCTGAAGGCGCTGTGTGCTTCCTTGTGAAAGCGAAACTACTTTGTTTGGCCTTCCAAAAGAGGACGATATTGGTTCGTCTTGCCTGGAGCTGATCCGTGCTGGTCGCTGAGGAAATACTTCAACTTCGCGCTGTCGATCGCCGGATCGGCTTTCACCGTGGACGAAGCGAGTCCAGCCCGGGGGCGTCACATGTGGTTGCCGCAGGCATCACAATATGGTAAGAGACGTAACATTTCCGTCACAAGCTTGAGGAATTCGGCCAATCACAACGCACTGGATAGCTGGCCAATCAGAGCACACCTCGCTTTTTCAGACCGATGAGCTTTGTAAAAATCGACGCGTTTCAGAAAGGCAGGGCATAGAGGAGAAACAATAATGTACAGTATGTGGAAAATAATGGGTTTTTTGAACCTTAAACCGCATAAACTCATTTCATTACACCAAATACACAAAATAATGTTCTTTTTAGCAGCATCATACGACCCCTTTAATAAAGGTCTTCAGGAACACTAGAAACTTGCCGGCAGTTGTTCTGGAGCTAAACTATGCGTGAAAGGGGGCCTCAAGGAGCAGGATTGGATAACCCTGCATTAAACAATCAAAGACTGGACATTTTGCCCTATTAAGTCTTTTACAATCTTTGAAAGAAAGTAAAATGCGGCCTAAAAATCTACAGTGTAAACCCCGCTTAAGGGCGAGACTATTCAGTACTGAAAGGGAAAAGAAATGCTCACGTTTTCCAGGTGATAGTGGTGGGGACGGGGTTTCCATCAGCCTGACAGGTCAAATACGCACTTGTCCGACCCCTGTACCAGTTGTTATCATACCCTACGATCTGCACCCGGGGAGGATCTGACAGAGAGAAAAAGACAGACAGAAAAAGAGTAAATCGAAGGATCGAACAACTAGCCTTTATGAATGAGTTTAGCCTTGAGCCACTGAAGTCTTGGACAAATCGAACACTGATATGGTCTATCAGCGGACTCCATGATGACCTCATTGACCCTTAGCTTGTGTTTCTGGTCCAAGCAGCACTGTAAAGCCTCAGGGTAATTTGCTTGATGGCTGTTACTAATGTCTGGCATATTGCGTAGACACATTACTGGCCTGGACCAATAGAGACATGACTCACTAAAGCAATTCTCAGCTATAGCAACAGGGAGTGCTTAGCGTAACAGCCTTTGGATCAGTAGTTTCTGGTGTATTTAATGGTCTGGTTGAAATCTTACATTCAACAACAAGTCTCATCGGGAAGGTCTCGGGTTGGGTCATGGTACGGTGTGTCACCATGCAGCTGATGTCTTTGCCATTATCCGATGACTGCGGAACCAGCATGTAGGAACTCTGGACGGTGACTGTATTATCTTGATTTTCCGTCTCGATCGGCGTTGTCACGTTTCCGTTAAGCGGCGTGGACCAAGAAATAGTCGCTGCCGGACGGCCATTGGATGATTCACAGCGCGCCACGATGACTGGGGTTTTGCCGGCGGTAACTGTGAAAGTTGTAGCCAAGTTCTTTGGTTTAGCTGTGGGAAAGAGAGAGAGAGTATGACCTTTATTTGATGCTATAATGTGAAGGAGGGTAAGGGAAGATGAGAGGAGGAGGGGAGGAAGTGGAGACGGGAAGATCACAGCTCTGCTTGTCCTGCCACACGCTAGGCACAGCGCTCACATTGTACTCACGTTTCGCTCTGAGAAAGACATCAAAGAGAGGGAAAGGAGAAAAGCCGGGGAGACGGGGAACGACAGGGAAGTGACGACCTCTCAGCATGATAAGCAGGCAGATCAATAGCAGGGAGAGAGAGGAGGGGAGGGGGCAAGTGAGCGAGAGACCGGCCAAGGTTACTGCCACATTTCACACACATTAACAGCAGCACAATTGATCAGACAATACCATTTAGAAATCCCCTTTAAGCACACAAACGGACACAGACGTGAGAGCGAGTATGCGTACACACACATACTCCATAAAACAGACTAAGACTGCAACTGACAAATATTTTGATAATCGATCCAAGCTGTCACTTGTCGTTACAGTCCTCTCCCCCACCCAAAAATAGATTTTACAATTTCTATTATTTAACATTTCCCCCAGTATTTGATTTAAAATAATGCTGTCTATCAATTAGTACTGCAAATAATCAGATACAAAAATGCCTAATGCTCCTCCTGATTGTTGAATTAGTTTTTCCTTAATTTTTTAGATTAGTTAGATTCAAAAAATAAATTGTTCCTTGTATTTTATTGGGGGGAAAATGTATACATTTCAATTAATCATAATTGGATATAAAAAAAAAATTTCCCCTTGTTTTTACTGAAAAACTGATCTGTCAATTTAAAAAAAAAAAAACTGAACTAATCAGATTTTTTAAAAAAAGAAAAAAAAGAAAAAAAAAACAAATTTCCCCCTATTTTATTGAAGAAAAAATATCTTCAACAAACAATGTGCAAACTAAATAATATTAACAATATATTTATAATTTGATGAATGCACACCAAGCATTTTGCTAATGCTATACACGTAAATACATTTTATTAACTTTATGAAATTTGTTGATCATTTTCTTTATAATTTTTTTAACGATTTTATTGATTAGTCGTTGCAGTTGTTGATGTCTCTTTTCCTCCAGCCCACACAAACACATACTCATACTCACCCAGCATGACCAGCGAAGTGACTCCCTGTTCGTTTCCAGAAGGGTAGGTGGCATATTCACAGATATATCGGCCCTCATCGGTCATCTTCACTTCTCTGATCTGAATGGATGGGTTGTCCAAAGAGGGCGGATCTGTTACAAAACTGACACGTCCTGATACAGGGGATTTCGTTGGGTAATTTGCTCCAAATGTTGGATGGAAAACTGCAATGTTGGTTCGCTCTGCATCATTCCGTTCAAAGATCCATGACACCTGCATGCCAATGGAAACAAATTCAAAATCAATTCAGATGACGATCTTCAGATGACATCAAATGCTTTCAGAAAGTTCTTACTTCAACCCCAGTGAACAAGTTATTTCTACAAACTCTTGTTCGTTGGGTTTCACAGCTCTGCTTTAGACTGGCAGGAAATTCTGAAGGTTGATTTCAGACCTGAGTGAGTTGGGTTCCGCCTGGGTTTGGAAACTGGCATCGCAGTGTCACCGTCTGACCAGGATATGACACGACTTCTGGCTCCACCCTCACACGCTGAGCCAACGACCCTGGAAATAAAACGAGAAAAGGCCCTGAGAACAGGAAACGACCTTCACTTCTGTCCGGCTAAATTCAGGTGACCCGCTACCACCTCGCTGAACACGCCAGAGAGAAATTCAGCACGTTCCAGCACAGTCTAGGAGTTCAGGGATAGCGAAATAAGAAATGATAAATGAGGTTACAACAAAACAGCAAGTAGGCCAATGTTTCTGATCTCAGCCGGGGTGTGAGTGGGTGCGAATCTAGATGTGAGTGTGTGCGTGCAAGCGTGTGTGAAAGTATCTATGAAAAAAAAAAACATTCAGCTCACTCTCTGCAAGAAGCATTCATCATCCACCACAACCCTGACAGAACACATTCAACGAGTACATGAGTGTGTATGTGTGTGCGCACATCAGTGGGGGTATAAAGTGGTAAAGAATTGAAAATTGCACACAAAACACAGTTAAGTGTCATGGGAGCATGGGTGCTTGCAAGTTTGACTCCGACTCACAACATTTTCTGATTCCATTCTTCCCCATCATTTCCTGTCCTGTCTCTGTGGCCTTCTAAAAGTGGCAAATCTAATGCAGAAAGGTACAGGTCACATTTACCATTTTTTACTGAATTTTTGCTGTCGAAATACATTAATTTCAATAAGAATCTGTGCAATGAGGAATTTGCGTGAGATTTGCGCAGATTTCACATCGAGTTGAATGTGAATTCACCGTGCTGACCAACAGAAAGCTGATTGGTTTGAAAGTGACTTTAATGTGAGCTGTGGTTTATACATTGATACACTATTGACAATAAACAATGGACATTTTTTTAGCCTGCAAAATTTCGCTAAATGCGACCAAAAGTGAGACGGGCATGAAAAAACCCTGTCAAAAGCTGCCACTGGGGTGGTACCCTTTTAAATCGTACTAATATGTACACTTTAGATACTAATATGTACTGCCCCAAAGGCACTTTTTTCCTGAGAGTGTACAGTGTGTAGGTATAAAACTAGTAAGACAGGTTGGTCTGCTAACCAGCTGAAAAGACCGAAACTCACAAATGAGAAAACACCGCCTCATCAAAACTGTGAAGTTCAAAGGGAAAGAAAAATTAAGCAAGAGGAAGCTTGAAAAAGTAAACATGTTTTATGGGAACTCTCATTTGCTTCCTTAGTTTTATCAGGAACATACAGTGGCGTTCAAAAGTCCATATTGTAAATATGGGATTCAAAATTTCTATGCCACAAATCAATTTGTGACATTGATAATGTGACTCTTTGTCTTCTTCTGTTGAAACTCAACATGCTCTCAGGACGAATCATGCTGGAGAACATGATCATCCGGATTTTATACAAACTTGTGGAGCTTCAGTGATGCGGTCATTAAAATACAGTAGATGTGGAAGTGCAAACTAAACCCTCTCAAATTCATGTTCATTTTCATTTCAACTTTTCTCCTAAATTGTGAGGCTGATAATATAATTTGTAGAAGTAATACATTTGTATTAATAAAACAATACATTTAATTAGAAAAATGGAAGCATTTTTTCCACAAGTGGTCTTTTGGACCCCACTGTGTCTCTTTCGGTCTCTTGCAGGTGCTCAATCTGAGACGAGGGTGCGCCTGTGTGTGTGTGTGTGTGTGTGTGCCCACCGAGGCTATTACTTCTGAGCCTGCGTTTGGCACCGCTGAGCCCTGTTATTGAAAATCTCCCTCTCTCCCGTCTCTCTCTGGATGGAAAGTGAGGATAGGTCATTACACTGATGTGTAGAGGGGGTCAGCAGTCCATCAGAACACTAAACACATTCACTTCTCACCTCGACGTACAGCAGCACGGTGTGTAAATGGAAAGGAGGGTACGGGGGTAGAAGATAGAGAGATGTAGTAATAAGCTGAAAGCACAGGAGAGATAAAAACGCTGATACAGTCAGCATAGATGGCATATTTCTCGCAAATGAAAAAGGCTGTAAAGGGATACACGTACAGTCCCTTGTATCATACAGTATAAATACTGCATAGGTGATCTTAAGGTCCACTGTCACATCTAGTTTTTTTTCACATCCTAGAGTTTTTTGTCCACTGAAACATTTTCAATCGTCTGAACTGGGATCAGAGGAAAAGTTCAGAGAAAAATGTAAAAAATAGAAATATAGCTACCCATTAAAAAGGCTGTTTGCCTATACGTCAACTTGGTTTCCAATAGTATAAAACTAAAAATGGCATCTGTATGGATTAAGGTCCAAAGCAGCATGTAAAACCGAATGAGAGACAGAGGCTGTGTGTCAAGCATGTTTCGGTGTGCTTGCCGCCTGCAGGTGACATGCCACACACACACACACACTCAGAGGGCGTTTATGTAAATCACACACCACCATTCAGAGGCCTGTCACCCATCATCATGTCTCACACACACACACACACACACACACAGGGAACACTGCTGCCTTAAATATGCTCCCGCTCTTCATCCTTCCATTCTGGGAGAAAACGGTTCAGTCCAGTGTGGACGGTGACAGACGAGCACCCAGAATGCGACCAAAAGTGAGACGGGCATGAAAAAACCCTGTCAAAAGCTGCCACTGGGGTGGTACCCTTTTAAATCGTACTAATATGTACACTTTAGATACTAATATGTACTGCCCCAAAGGCACTTTTTTCCTGAGAGTGTACAGTGTGTAGGTATAAAACTAGTAAGACAGGTTGGTCTGCTAACCAGCTGAAAAGACCGAAACTCACAAATGAGAAAACACCGCCTCATCAAAACTGTGAAGTTCAAAGGGAAAGAAAAATTAAGCAAGAGGAAGCTTGAAAAAGTAAACATGTTTTATGGGAACTCTCATTTGCTTCCTTAGTTTTATCAGGAACATACAGTGGCGTTCAAAAGTCCATATTGTAAATATGGGATTCAAAATTTCTATGCCACAAATCAATTTGTGACATTGATAATGTGACTCTTTGTCTTCTTCTGTCGAAACTCAACATGCTCTCAGGACGAATCATGCTGGAGAACATGATCATCTGGATTTTATACAAACTTGTGGAGCTTCAGTGATGCGGTCATTAAAATACAGTAGATGTGGAAGTGCAAACTAAACCCTCTCAAATTCATGTTCATTTTCATTTCAACTTTTCTCCTAAATTGTGAGGCTGATAATATAATTTGTAGAAGTAATACATTTGTATTAATAAAACAATACATTTAATTAGAAAAATGGAAGCATTTTTTCCACAAGTGGTCTTTTGGACCCCACTGTGTCTCTTTCGGTCTCTTGCAGGTGCTCAATCTGAGACGAGGGTGCGCCTGTGTGTGTGTGTGTGTGTGTGTGCCCACCGAGGCTATTACTTATTACCGAGCCTGCATTTGGCACCGCTGAGCCCTGTTATTGAAAATCTCCCTCTCTCCCGTCTCTCTCTGGATGGAAAGTGAGGATAGGTCATTACACTGATGTGTAGAGGGGGTCAGCAGTCCATCAGAACACTAAACACATTCACTTCTCACCTCGACGTACAGCAGCACGGTGTGTAAATGGAAAGGAGGGTACGGGGGTAGAAGATAGAGAGATGTAGTAATAAGCTGAAAGCACAGGAGAGATAAAAACGCTGATACAGTCAGCATAGATGGCATATTTCTCGCAAATGAAAAAGGCTGTAAAGGGATACACGTACAGTCCCTTGTATCATACAGTATAAATACTGCATAGGTGATCTTAAGGTCCACTGTCACATCTAGTTTTTTTTCACATCCTAGAGTTTTTTGTCCACTGAAACATTTTCAATCGTCTGAACTGGGATCAGAGGAAAAGTTCAGAGAAAAATGTAAAAAATAGAAATATAGCTACCCATTAAAAAGGCTGTTTGCCTATACGTCAACTTGGTTTCCAATAGTATAAAACTAAAAATGGCATCTGTATGGATTAAGGTCCAAAGCAGCATGTAAAACCGAATGAGAGACAGAGGCTGTGTGTCAAGCATGTTTCGGTGTGCTTGCCGCCTGCAGGTGACATGCCACACACACACACACACTCAGAGGGCGTTTATGTAAATCACACACCACCATTCAGAGGCCTGTCACCCATCATCATGTCACACACACACACACACACACACACAGGGAACACTGCTACCTTAAATATGCTCCCGCTCTTCATCCTTCCATTCTGGGAGAAAACGGTTCAGTCCAGTGTGGACGGTGACAGACGAGCACCCAGAATGAGAGTTTAGATGGGAGACAACGTGCTGTGACTACAAATTGAGTGTGTGTGTGTGAGTGAGAGTGAGTAGACCTTCATTTTATATCACAAGGACAGATGACGGAGCATACAGGTTCTATCTGCAGAGCTTATCATCACTCAAACTCACACATAATCGGAGTAAATGTGTGGTAAGCAGGAACATGGAGATGTCCAGTGGGTGAATGAGAATCATTCATGACACAGCTGATGTGAGCAGAGAGAGGAATAAAGACTGAGGGGTAGGAACAGACGGAGATGAACAGCTGGAGGGGGTCTGTGGGGAGCGTGGCCGTGCGTGTGTTTGCGCGTACAGTAAACATTTATGTGCATTCGCAAATGTCTCGAAGTGTAAAACTGTACCTTCTGTTTTTGGAGACTTTTTGAAACCTTTTATTGTTAAGAGACCGTATAGGAGACAGAAAATCTGGGAATGAGAGGAAAGTTGGCACAAAGATGTTTGAATTCAGAATTCAGTTTGAATTCTAACCATGGCTTCCCATACACTACAAAAAAAACTAATCTTGTATTTTTATGTTGTATTTTAGTACAAAAAAAAAAAATGAAACGAGATACATTACCATTAAAAAAAATTTCAAAATGTTTTTTGGAATTTATACTTTTATTCAGCAAGGACGCATTAAATAATAATATTTAGATTTTATTTAAATAGAATTTAGATTAAATTTAATAGATTAAATTAGATTTTAAAATAGAAAATATTTTATTTTTTATAGAAATAAAAATGTCTATTTATCAAAGAATCCTGAAAAATATATCACCGCTTGTAAAAAAATATTA